GAAGTTGGTGGGTAGTGGTGGTATGAGCGTCATTTCAGAGTATACTTGAACTACAAGATAAATGTGATGTGGTCTTTTTTTTCCCTCAGATTGTTAACATTACCTAGATACATGGGTAGAAAATAGTATTTTCTATTAAAACAAACATCAATACACAATAGATTAGAAAAGATAACAGGACTTTTAAAATAAACCAATAACCATTAACAATTTTATTGCCTTTAAATTGTAGCATCCCTCAGAGTCCAAAGGTACATATTCACCTTATTTGTCTTTAGTGGGTGATCTGGGGGAAAAGTTTAGGAAGCATTTAACTAGAGTCCTTGTATAGTGTGATGAGCAAGTCTGTTGCGTCAGGCTTTTCATCTGAGACACAAAGTTGATTTTTATTTTGTTTTGCTTCCATCCACACTGCCTAGGGGCATAATTCAAATGAACATTGAAAAAAAAGCGTAATTCTTTGTCTCTTTTATTCTCATACTTATTGTTGCCAAAATCAAACAGCATTTACAAAACCTTCATATATACTTCAATATACTGATTCAGGTGTGCTATTTTTGTAATATATATTAAATAGCATCATTTGTGAATTATTTGTAAAGAAATGGCTGCAGTCAGAGAAATCATCATTTAATTTCTAATTAGACTAGAAATCCTTCACAGAGGAGGTGAAGAAAGCAATGCTGACCTTGAAGGGGAAAATATTCTAAGCATGTCATAGTGAATGTCTCAGTCTTTTTTGTGTTGCTATCACAGAATACCACAGACTAGCTAATTCATAAGAAAAGAAATGTATTTACTGGAGGCCAGGAAGTCCAATATTGAGGGGTCCACATCTAGTAAGAGCCTTCTGCTTGCACCATCCTGTGGTGGAAGGTTAAGGGGCAAGATAGGATGAGACAGCAAAAAGGAGCTGAACTCACTTTTATAACAAAGCCACTTCTGTGACAACCCACTTCTGTGGCAATGACATTAACCATTAACCTATTCATGATGACAGCCCTCATGAAAGAATTACCTCTTATTAGGCCCCACTGCCCAATGCTGTTGCATTGAAAATTAAGTTCTCAACATATGAACTTTGGAGGACAAATTTGAATCATAGCAAGAGGAACAGCATATTGAGATGGTGGAGAAAGCATAGGTGTGAGGGAAAAAATGCAAGAATATGACCCCTTTAGTGCAGAAAAAAGAAAATTAACATTTATTGCGTCCCTGTCATACTAGGTGTCTTCCTAGATGTTGTTTCATTTCAATCTTCAAAATACCTTATTCTCCCCATGCAGAAAAATTGAGGCTCCAAAAGGCATGGAAGAACTCATCTGTCTGTTTCAAAAGTCCATGGTAGTGGGGGAGTTTAGACACTTGCAGAGGAAGCTATTTGTGATTATTGAAGTGATGTGTACAGTTTTATAACATGTTCTTCTAAGCCCCATTGGCTTTCTTCTGTGACCCTCTATAGCACTGGCTGTGTGGACTCTTGATTTGATGTTTATTGTTGTCTGTCTCTGACCATCAGAGACAGCATGTAGACTCTGAACAGCATGTAGACTCTGAAAGTCAGGGACCATACCTTCCATACTTTATCTTTCCTGTGGAGCCTTGAATCGTTTTAATAGATTATTGTAAATAGTAATTGCACGATTGACTATTTACAGCTAAGATTCTAGGATTTTTAAAACTGTGTTAATAGGCAAAGTGTATTTTGAATTTTCAACTCAAGCTTCAGTTCTCACCCCACAAGGAATGTGAATTAAAGGTGCTTCAGCATTTGTTCTCTTTCAGATATGCCTAAAACTGTTTTAAAATAACAGGATAAAACCAAGGCCAGGAGCGTTATCTTAATATTAGACTTTCCAGCTCTCTTATGCTGGTAAGTGCCAGTATCCCCAATTACAGAAACTATGAAATATTACCTAGAGTCACTGGTAAGAGATACAAGCATTAAAACTTTTAAGTGCTGTTTCCCATATCAGCCTAGTGTATTAGAACTTCGTCATTTCATCATGCCAGAAAGCCACCTCCTTAGGAGGCCTTCACCGACCTACCTGGTCACCCATCCTGCCTGGATACTCCCGTGGCATGGTGACAGCGCACAGCACGTAATCCATTAATACTCAGAAGGATCCGATAAGCTAAGTGCCACTATTATCATCCAGAATTTTTAGGTAAGGAAACTGAGAAACCCAGAGATGACGTAATTCCCTCACCATGGGTTACACGCTAGTAAGTAGCAGAGGCCGCACATACAGCTGGTGTTCTAGCTCCAGAGATTCCCACCTCTAACGGTAACCACTCCCTAAAAATCTCCCCTAGCCCCTCCCCTGGAGCCTCCCCCAGCTCCTCCCCTCTTCCCTAATCCCGTCCCTAACCCCTCCCCTAGTTACTTTCCTGACCGCCTCCTTCCCTAGCCCTTACCTTAGCTCCTCCCCAGTCCCTGTAACTCCTCCCCAAGTCTCACCCCTAGATTTTCCCCTAACGCCTCCCGTAGCTCCACTCTAGTCGCCCCCTAGATCCTCTCCTAATCTCCCTAACTCCTCCTCTAGCTCCTCCCCCATCCTCCCCTGTCCCGCCCCTAGTCTCTCCTTAGAGCCTCCCTAGTCTCTCCCTAACTCCTTCCCTAGCCCCTCCCCAGCCTCACACCTAACTCCTCTCTAGCCCCTCCTCCATTTCCTCCTTAGCCCCTCCCCTAACTCCTCCCCTAGTCTCTCCCTAGCCCCTCCCCTAACTCCTCCCCTAGTCTCTCCCTAGCCCCTCCCCTAACTCCTCCCCTAGCTGTCTCCCCTAGCCCCTCCCCTAACTCCTCCTCTAGCTGCCTCCCCTAGCCCCTCCCCTAATTCCTCCCCTAGCACCACCCCTGATCCCGCCCCTAACTCCTCCCCTAGCCCCTCCCCTAGTCCCGCCCCTAACTCCTCTCCCAGCTTCTTTTCTAACCACTGCCTTAACCCATCCTTTTTTTTTTTTTTTTTTGAGACGGAGTTTCGCTCTTGTTACCCAGGCTGGAGTGCAATGGCGCGATCTCGGCTCACCGCAACCTCCGCCTCCTGGGCTCAGGCAATTCTCCTGCCTCAGCCTCCTGAGTAGCTGAAATTACAGGCACGCGCCACCATGCCCAGCTAATTTTTGTATTTTTAGTAGAGACGGGGTTTCACCATGTTGACCAGGATGGTCTCGATCTCTTGACCTCGTGATCCACCCGCCTGGGCCTCCCAAAGTGCTGGGATTACAGGCGTGAGCCACCGCGCCCAGCCTAACCCATCCTTGAACTCTCTAACTCCTCTCCTCCTCTGCCCTGCTTCATTTTTCCTTCACTATATCATCAGGGTCCTGCGAGAAAGAAGATGCACCCAGCTGAAGCTGTTAAGAGAATTTGATGAGGCGAGGCGTCCGCTTAAGGAGCTGGGGGAACCAATGAGAAAATGCCAGCATGTGAAACAGCAGGAGGCATCACAACCCTCAAGCCTGCGGGCCAGGACCCTGGGAGAGAGGGGAGGGAAGGGAAGGGTCAGTAGGGCTTGCAGGTGCCGTGGGGCAGAAAGTTCTGGAAACTCAGAGACCTGGCGCCAGCAGAGCCAAGGGCGTCGGGCAGGAGGTGCCGGGGAAAAGCCCCTGTTTTCTCTGATCCGCTCTTGGTGAGCCTGGTGCGCTTTCCTTGACGTGGACAGCAACAGAATCCAGGACGTAGGGAATCTAAAATAATTTTTTTTAATGCAAGAATTTTCTCTCAGTTTTTTGACATTTAAGTGGTTCTGCCACTAAGTGGTTAAGTGGTTCCGTTTTAATTAGCCTTTTATCATCCAGTTCATTTGAGTTTCCTCCCAGCCTCCCAAGCATCCCACACTGAGAGAATATTTTCCACGGCGCCAGACACACCTGGCAATAAAACAGGCTTAAAGTGATTGACATTGCCAAGGACAGAGCCACCTGAGGAGCCTGACTCAGAGATAGATGGTCGGTGCTCGGGGTTAACAGACCGTCTTCTCTGTGTTCCTCGACCAAGCGATCAGATAACACACAAATCAGACTCAGCACAGCCCCTCCTTTGGGTAAAACAGAAACTCGGAAAGAGCGTGACTTAGTACATCTATTTTTCTTCTCCCGCTAAGCTCATTCATTAGATACAAATCATTCTCAAGTATGAAGAATAATTGCTGGCTTAAAAGGATGAGAGGGGGAAAAAACAAAGATGAGGAAACGACTGGAAGGTTCATCTGAAGCCTTAGTACGCATATTTTTCCTCTCTACATTGTTAGCATTCTGATATGTTTTGGGTAATCACTTCTGATTCTGGTCTGCGATAGACTATTTCTCATGGCAGGGGTGCAGCTGAACAACCAAAAGCATAGACAGCAATTTCTTTAAACGTATTTTGTATGGAATTTAATTTTCAGGCCATTTTGGTAACCATTGGGCTTGTTTGGGTTAACCATATCAGGAAGTGAGTTCGGTGACTCACACACCGCTAGGATAAGTCAGAATCTCTACCTCTACCTTTGTAAAAGCCTTTTCCTCAGAACTGATGGTTACTGGTTAGGATAAAGCATAGCTTGCCTGTTTCCAGAGATTTTAAGAAAGTGTGTAATTTGCTTTGTATGCTGAAATTGAGCATAAAGGAAAAGAAAGCAGCTTATAGGCTCTCCATCAAAAACAGCTTTTTTCTGGGGAAAAGCTTTTCTGCTTTTATTTTAAAAGTTAAAGAATATTAGAAGTTTGAGATTCCCTAGAAAATCTACCTAGCTCTCTGGCATCCAGAGTTTTTGGCAAAGTACGTTTGGAGGAAATACTGAGATACGAATACATTTTAACTCGTCAAGGATCAGGGCAACAAAATTGCTCAGTTTTTCCCAACTTACCTTGAGCTCAATATTGAAGACATGAAAGCTGCTGCCTTGTTTATTGTTTTTAAAAATAAATAGGAAGACAGGTAAGTAGAGATAGTATTTATCCTTTTGTGCTTCTGAATCTGTTTCTTAGTACAGGTCTCCTTTCTTCCTCTCTAGGTCATGGGTTTGGTGCCTCAAAGATGTCTCGTGCACAGACATTTCCCAGCTATGCCCCAGAGCAGAGTGAAGAGGCCCAGCAGCCGTTGTCACGGTCCAGCAGCTATGGATTCAGCTACAGCTCTAGCCTCATCCAATGACACAGAGAGCCGCTGCTGACCAGAGAGACAGTCTGTCCTGAACCCGTCAGTGGGGTCATTGCACCCTCTGCCTCCTGGAAGACCAATTGCAGTACAAGTTGAAATGGGTTGGGTCTAGCCCCAGTCTCATTGGAAGGTTAAAAACTGGAGTTCTGCTTCCTTGATTCAGTGGCTAAGTCTTTTATTTATTGAATTTCTTTGGGGGAATCTATGTTTTACATAAATAGAATCCAAATCGTATGAAGTTATTTAAATAAATAAAATTCTTTGGGTCTGACAGTAGCAGAAACCTCAGCACTGGGAAAAGCTGCGCATGCTGGGGTATGCCTGGGTGGTGGGCACCTCTCACTGACCTCACAGGGTCTGTTCTTAGACATAATGGTGACCCTCCACAACCTCTGTGGCTTTTAAAGTTTTGACAGGGACACACCCAGTAAGCTCTACAAATGGTATCATAACTGCATATAAATAAACCCAGCGACAATTAAGAGAACATGAAATTCAGAACACACTATTAAGCAGGGCCCTGTAGCTGTACTCGTGTGTGTGTGTGTGTGTGTGTGTGTGTGTGTGTGTGTGTAGACAAATGTGGATATTGCTATATCCATCTATATATAACAAGTATTTATCAAACATGTGCTGGGGTGACAGATTATACTCACTTAAATTGTTGAAAACCAAAATTAAGATTGTTACATTGAATAGCTATTTTTTAAATAGTGCTGTAAAAAAAAGGCTTCTTATTAGCAAAAGTATATGTAATCCAGTCTGCTCCTGTGACAAGGGTAATCAAAAATATGAAAAGGGGAACATTCAGAAGCAAAAGAAGCAGCCTAGCTGTCCTGCACATCATGTCATGCACTGTCTTTCTGGTAAGTGTTTCCTTGTCATTGACAATGTTGCTCCCTTTGGCCATCCATCTGATCTACGTGAGGTGGATTCCGTGTGAACACTGATCAGCTTCCATTTAACCTTGGGAAAAAAGAGAGGTTCTAAATGAAAAATTCTTTAAGAAAGAAAGAATACACCTAAAAAGAACTCAGCTATTTTACAGTAAAGAGAAAAACAAAATGGGCACAGGTGCTTATCAATATTTAAAATGTCATAGATGCTGTTCTCAGAAAACCACTGGGGGCTTGTGATTTACTGTGTAACCAGAACTTGCAGGGCTTTCTGTTTTCTTTTACTGGACACAGGTTGTCTGAGACTGTAAGAAAAAAATGCAACAAATATAATTTTCATCATCCCTGACACTGATTACAAACCTACAGTGTTTAAAGGGAATTCACGATTTCCACGTGAACTGAAAGAGTTTCAGGTCAACAAAGATATATTTGCCCTTAATTTTGGACTTAAGTAAAATTAAAAATGATCCTGCCTGAATCATCTGAAGCCTTGTTCCTAAGATGGTTATCTCTCAAATACTCTAGGGTGGAGTATTGTTAAAGAACAAGGAGCCCAGGTCATACAAGATGAAAACTCAGTTTTTTTGTTAATAGAAAATTTTTTTAAACTATCAAAATTAGTCTTTGAAAGGGTACCATTTTTGCTGATCTCTGACAACTTGTCTTTTCATCCCTATCCCTAGCGTGAGTGCAGATTGACAATTCATTTCAGTGAATTACCACGAAATAAAAGTGGTTCCGATCTCTCCTAGATAAATGTGCACTTACAGCAACTATCTAGGCTCTCCAAATCACTCCGCTAGGTATGAAAACCCCATCAAGATACTAATCATAAGAGTTAATGTGGCTGCAAAAAATAATTATCCTAAGCTTTCAGGGATAAAAAGAAAATTACCCAAGTTCTCTGCACTGTGAATTTTGCTGACATAGCAGAGGAGCAGATGACTGGTTCCTACAACTGTACAGCCTTCCTTGAAATTACAGCTTTTGGGGTTAAACACTTCTGAATTTCTTTAGCACATGGCATTTACTTTTGAAATGCCTTTAGCCAGATACTCCAGAGCAACTCCCAGCTGAGACCACTTGAGCACAGTTCCTAGTGGGGCCGCATTCAGAGCAAGCCTCTCGCTGGCTCACTCAGTCGAGCTGTTGCTTAGACACCAAAAGTTTCTACAAGGGACTTATGGGGAACGGCCCTCAGGGGTCCTGGTTCACATCTCAGCTTTATTCACGTGCTGGAAGCACAAACAGCGAGTCCAGGGAGGGATTCTGCTAATTAGATGAGTCTGCTCTTGTGTCTATTTCTTAGGAGACAAATATCTGCATGCAATTGCTTCAAGAATTCCATTTGGTTCTGATCACTACCAATGAATATAACTGAAGGAGCACCAAAGATCAGGCGTAACCTTGGGCCAGTTCATTCTGAAAATAATGTTGTACAAAGAGTGTGTGTGAGAGAAATCTATTTCCCAAGTTTTTAACCAGATCTCATCACAATGAGAATAATGCTATAATCTCTCTCGTGGTATATTTTTGGGGGCTTTATTCTAGCATACTCCTCCAAGTCCACACACAGTTGTAGCTGAGTCAAAACTGCTAAATGAACAGGTAGGAGAATTTATATTAACCTAATAAACTTGACATGAGGCAGTGTTCATTGTAATAAAAATGGCAAACAGATCAATCTTCTACCAAAACCAAAGATGGAAAGTCACTGTGCCAGTCTCCTGGAACTTCGTAAAATCAGTTTCACTGGAGCAACCAGAAGCGTCATGGCTATGTATACCACTCGCTTGAGCTCGTAGGTTTTTGACTAGGAATGCCTCTGCACTTTGTAAGTCATTTCTCCCTTCAAAAACTGTATTGTATCTTTAATATATATGTCTTTTTCAATGTGAGGGAGGACTTAGTATGAACCAAAGATATCTTATGGCTCCTGAAAGTGACTCAGTTTGAATTCCATCCAGATTTGTACAGATAAACAGATGGTCACCGTTTCTGCATCAGGTTGGAAGAGACGATGACAAAGGAACCCAGCGTGATGAATAATAGTTCTGAAAACAGACAAAGCCTAGAGGAGGTATCCGTTTCACTGAAAGATTACATGAGGGAACTTATTTATTATGTCCCCCAATTTTTCTTCTGATAATATTAATTAATGTACACATGACTGACACATGACATTACACGTAAAATGCAGAAAAGTACAAAACAACTTCGATCCAATAGTTTCCTATTCTGGGGAGTGGGGGTGGAGGTGGAAAAGAAAACACATTTTCACTTACTTATTGAACAAACAGTAAGCACTCAGAACTAATTTATTTACGCAGGTTGCAAATACGTATGAATCAATAGGTTCTGGCCACTGCCAGAGTTTGAAAGAAAAATATGTATTAGGGAAGATGCTGTCGATAGAGCATGTGAAATTGAGTGAAACATACTTATTAAAAATAAACCTCACCTTTTTCACCAACTAGTAACTAGAGAACTAGTCCTAGTTTCTTGTATAATTCTTCTCTGTATTCATTGGGAAATTATGTTTGAAAATCTTTCATCACCTATAAAATGGTGAACCTCTTATAGCTTCTATTCAGTATGTAAACAGTGGACTGATAACTTTACATTATTAGTCATAGTTCCTACAGATCCAGTTTATCACCTGTAGTATCTTTATTGTAAATATTAAAAACACATCATAAAAATTGATGTGTGCTCCTCATTGTTTGGCTAGTATCTCAGAAAACTTTGGAAAAAATAAAAGCATGGGGACGCTACTCCCTAGATTATTTGAGCCATTTACTCAAATTGGCCATTAGTGCTACAGTGAAAACAAGCTAAGGAAATGGTGTTCTCATAAAAAACTGTTTCCAGTTTTGACTATTATATATAGCACAGCACAATAAATGGGCAGTATACATCTAGTGGGACTGAGATTTAGGGCTTTAACAATTTGTGTTTAATTTTAAAATATTATACTGAAGACTACACAGAGTGAAAATTATACGTTTCTCTCATCCTGTGATATGAACATGTCGATAAATACCTTGCAATTTCAAATTACTTCCGTCATTAACTATATGATCTCCCGAACACAGCCTTCTCAAAATAGATATGCCACTGGATATGCATTAATAGCTAACAGTGGATGATATGCCACACAAATTTACCTTATGAAATTTATGGAGTGTGTATTCGTAGACTATGAAATTTATGAAGTGCAGTTTCCCATGGAAAGGAGAGAGAGGGAGGATGGCAACCAGTCTTGAAGGCAACAATTTAGGTTAAATGATAACGGATACAATGAAATGTCCAGAGTTACACTTGGTCTCTACCTTTCTAGCATTCTAACCTGAGGCCTGTGTCATGGACTTGGCCTTCTTCCTGTTGCTTCATACTAAGTATGCAATTTACAGAGGACATCTGTGGCATGTCTTAGGTCACTACAGGAAGACACTACATTCCCAACGAAGATTCATCTTTCAGCTTAGTGAAAAATGTTTAACACAAAAGAATGTGTAACCAAGTCCACACAGTAAAATGTGTCTTCAGGAATACGAGAATCATTCTCCTACAGCCAGCCTTATTTGAATTTCATGATGAACATATATTATTGATGAGACTGGTGGGTGGGGCCAGATCTGTGAGATGAAATCAACACTCTCATGTGTGCATCCTTTATAAACATATTTGAAAGACTGCCCACATTTTCTTTGTAGACCTGCCACAAATCCTTTCTTTCTTACTCAAGAATGTGAATCTTGTAACATTTGTTCAATTATGCCAGCAGAGGCGACACTAAACAGTTTACAGACTCGTACGGGATTGGGGCACATTGGCCATGCAGGTGGAATGCTGGCTAGATCTCAGAGCACTCTTAAAGGTCACGTAGAATAAAAGTCCCACTTTATGTTTTCCTCAGGAGAAAACTGAAACCCATGGATGCTGTAATTTGTTTAAAGGCAAAGAAAGAGCCAAGAATCGTTTCTCTTAGTTCCAGGCTCCTAATCAAGGAATGTTTTCTTGGCTCCATGACGTCTCCCAGTTTGACATAGTGGGAGCTGAGAAATGCCACATGGCCTTGAAATAAATAAACCCTTGTACATTTGTTTTCCCAGATTTTCAGATGCCTGTACTCTTGCTGAACTCATTACCAACTATATCAGTAGAGATGTATTATGGGGCAATTCATAGATTTCTGGTAGCTCATGAATGATTGGTATAAGCTTTATTTACTCATATGTTGTCATGCAGTTCTTTGAAATTCAATCTTAGTTATCCTAAAGTGGTGGTCAAACTAAAAAGAAAATTAAGTAGGTGTTTGTGTTTTGTAGTCCTACTAATTGATCATAATCACATTGTAATTGTGATTATAAATTTTAGAATCATCACTTCCTAGCACTTTTATGGTGTCATTATTAATGGCATTTGTCACAACTTTGTTGGATGACTGATAACATCAGGGCTACGTTCTTTCATGTAAGCCTCAAGAAGCTTCCAGTATCAACAAAAATTGGAGAAATGACTTTTTTACATGACAATACCTTATACATCAAGTTTTTCCTTATAAACTTCAGTGGACAATAATTTAAATTAACTGAAGTTTAGATAAATATGTTAAAATTACTAAATAGGAAAACCACATTTTACTTGTAATTTTCACTTTCCTCCTACCTTAATATTTTTAACATCTTGTAAATATTAATGTTTGAAGGAGAAAAACTACATTTGTAGTAGAAATATTTCCTCTAACAATTCTGTTTAACTAGTAAGTTTTTTTTAAGTGATCTTCTATGCCTGTTTCCCTAGTCTGAACTCCACATTCCAGTTGTCAGAAGAATGAATGGATTTAAATTTTCTAATCATTTTTTTGGGCCCATGTTAGCAGTTGAAACAATTAAGCTCCTCACTCTTTCCTGCTTTTAGGATGATTTTAGACTGTGAGCATAAAATAAACCCTTTCTGTCAGCACAGAATTGAACATCGAAAGGAGCAAGGTCTACACCCTCAACCTGTAGCTGTGCTAATGTTGGGATTGAATAGTTAATTCCCTCAGGAGACTCACAGCCTCAGAACAGTTACTTATGATCAGGTATCCAATATTCAGAAACCCAAAGTCAGGCCAAGAAGGAAACTGAGATAATGATTTAATTTTTTTTTTAAGTCACTGCAGGATTTCTCTCAAAGAAAACATCTTAAAATGGCTGAGAAAGTAGTTCCAGATCATTAGCTATTTTATAGAAGGACTGAAAGCCAGGGAAAATAAAGAACAAAATGATAGTAGTATCTTGATACTAAATATCCATCAGAAATTAACAAAATATAAGTCAATATGCAATAATAATTTAAAATCAAATTCAGATTCACATGTATAGTGCATAGTTCAAGAAATAATGCTTACTCTTGTAAAAAATATATATATATATACATATATATGTATCAGTGGGTGGAGTGGGGGAGCTTCAACTTTGTTGTGAAAACCTCTAACAGAGTATGATTCTTTCCAGTTTTAAGATACTATATTGCTTTAGTTCTAGCAGGCAGTGCATAAATGACATCAACAACTCAGGCTGCTCCCTGACATAAAAGCCAGTTCCATTTTTACTGCAGATGACAGGAGACTTTCCAAGACCTGCAGAGGCCCCTCCACCCCAACCTTAGTGCATGCGCGGCACACACACACACACACACACACGCACACACACGCACACACATACACACACACACATTTTTGGCTTTTGACCCACTCTGTGTGTTACACTGACGTTACCTTTTCTTTAATAGATCCACACAGAATTACCCCATCCTGCAAAATCCTTATCCCTATGAATCTCTAAAATGTATTAAATTATGTTATATATTTGCTTTTTGTAAATCTTTATTTAATTAATTTATATATACTTTGTGAAGTCTTATACTGTATATTATAAAGGGATGTCATTTGTAGTTGGTTCAATCTAATGTTTATGATCATTTTGATAAGAAATAACTTTGGAAATTAGGCCCTTGTTAAGAAATAAAACACCCATTATGAAGTTGCTTCTGTTGGAAAATACATGATTTGGCATACTTCATTTTTAGTAACAATCTATCCTAAATAAATGATAATTTGGGGACATCTGTACTTAAAAACTAGTTGAACTATGTTTTGGGATGAGATGCAAAGCAAAAGCTGTCCCTGGAACTGAAATGTGAATTTCTGGCAGAACATAAAATAGTATAATAATGAGGCAATAATAAAATTAGGAAATTAAATTATTTTTAAATCTGTCTGTGTGATTTTTCCCCTTGGTAAAAATACATGAAATACATAATTGAAGAATTACCTTCTTCTGAAGTCAGTTTTTTATCTTAACCATCAATAAATAAACCTAATCTGTTGTTACCAATGCCTTATTCATAATTCTAAAAAATTTGCAAATTGTATTGCTATGAGGTTGTGCAATATTAAAACTTGCTCCATCACTTAAAGGCAAAGCAGTTCAAAAATACTACTTTACATCACAACTTTGCATGATTGAGATTTTGAACAACTAAACTGATGGTTTTATCCACAAGTTATTTAATAATGCTAACACTGTAATATTACTTGGTTTTCTTATATTTTTGTTATCATGTGATGAAATGTAACTATGTAATTAAACAAAATTCTGACAATCATATTCTGCTAATGTTTAAAATGTTACTTATTCCTTTACTTACTAGCTTGCTATTTTGAAAATAAAGTGAAAGAAGGTCCTTTATTAAATGTAAGGTTACCAATAATTTATTATGTATTTCCAACATTTTCCTAACCCTATCTTTTAATATAATTGAATTTTTATTAGGTTGACTCTGGTTTGAAGGAATTATAGAATATTAACTACTGAAAACGACACTAGAGATTAACACTTGTTTTCTAGTAAAAAGATATCCAGGCCAGGTACTGGTGGCTCACGCCTGTAATCCCAACACTTTGGGAAGACAAGGCAGGTGGATAACTTGAGGTCAGTAGTTCAAGACCAGCCTGCTCAACATGTTGAAAACCCATCTCTACTAAAAATACAAAAGCTACAAAAATTACCTGGGCACGGTGGCAGGTGCCTGAAATCCCAGCTACTCAGGGGGCTGAGGCACAAGAATCACTTGAACCTGAGAGGTGGAGGTTGCAATGAGCCAAGATCACACCACTGCACTCCAGCCTGGGCACCAAAGTGAGACTCAGTATCAAAAAAAAAAAAAAAAAAAAAAAAAAAAGATATCCAGAGAGCTTAAGTGGCTTGCACAGTGTTGCACAGCTAGACAATGGCTTTTCCTCCAGTACTCTGCTCACTCTCTAATAGCCAAAAATAAAATTGAAAATGAACATTACTTGGTAGACAAAGATTTAACTTCAAAAGTGAAATGCATATAGCTATGATTATCATGCTGTTATGTTATCAATGGCTTCTTTTATTTTTCATCCCAGGATTAAGTAGCCTTTGCCACTCAGATTTAGAACTGTCTAGAAATACATTTACAGAATCTGTTTTTCAAACTTAACCTTTAAATATTAGCTGGGCATTTCTTATGGATTTACTAGATTAATTTGTTAGGAGTATTTTTCCTTTTAGAGAATAATGCTTTTAAAGAGAGTGTGAAACTCCCATAAAATCAGAGAAATTAAACTGGGTGAGAGAAAAGTGATCAAGCAGTCAGTAGTGTTAAAAATGCCCTTCAATGGTAAGTCTGACCAAAGTCATGAATTGAAGAAAGCAATGAAAAATGTACGAGACCTTTCCATTTGTTCAGGAGTGGCAATGATGGTGAAAACACCCATTCTTTGTCAATACTGAATGAAATACAGCTTATTCTGATTATGAATTTTCAGTAACACTTTTCCATAACGAATTGGTGGTATGAACTTGATGAATTTTCTTTCCCTTTTTGTCACTATTAAAATCATGGAGACTATATTTACTTGGGAAAGTGTCTAGAAAGAATGTAAAGGTTTATGTAAGCTTAGAGCTAACATCAAAGAAGGCATTCAATAAATATATGTCACAAGGTACAGCCCAATAGCAATTACGCTGCTATTTTTGTAATGTACAAAGAACACCAACTACTTTTACTTCCAGTTCAGTCAAGAAATATATTATAAAAAGATTTATCTAATTTTAGCATCCATATGGTGAATAATTATAATAAATGAGTAAAAGCTGGATAGAATATCTAAACATTCATGGAAGTATGAATTATACAAATATGTAGGTAGGTTATTAGCCTGCTGATTTCATGTGATCTCAAAGGCCAGTCAATCACTACTTATTGAGTGCTTGCTATCTCCAAAACATGAGTAGAGGACAAGCAATATCTCCTGATCTTTGTTCTTGCTTCCTTTTAATTCCTTTTGCTATGCATCAATGTCAGTATGCAGCTGTGACAGCAAATTCGTACATGGCTTTATGCAGGAGACATGAAAATGGATAGAAATAAGGAAGTGAGGAAGGCAAGAGAGACCATCCTCACTAGCTCCCTAAATTCCTTTCTCAAAGCTATGTCTGAACTTCTCTCTCCTTCCTCCTCTTCCTTCTCCTCTTTCTCTCCCCGCTTCCACCACCCCATCCCACCCCGCAGATTGTTAGGCTGCATTTTCAATCACATAAAATTATTAGGCACACCGTCTAATACAACTCAAAAATTGTCTCATTATTTGCATTGTATAAATGTTTTAAAGCCTCTGTAAAAAAAATTTATTCAATACCATAATCAAAAATAACTTCAAGCTTATCTATTGATATTTGAGTTCTATGCATTTCTAAAACCTCATTTTTAAAAATCCTCTATTTCTTCCTCTCTTGACACAAACTTGCATATAAGACAAATATACACTCATTGTCACTTTTTTTTTTTTTTTTTTTTTTTTTGAGATGTAGTCTCCCTTTGTCTCCCAGGCTGGAGTGCAGTGGCACCATCTCAGCTCACTGCAACCTCCACCTCCCAGGTTCAAGCTATTCTCCTACCTCAGCCTCCTGAGTAGCTAGGACTACAGGTGCATGCCACCATGCCCAACTAAATTTTTTGTATCTTTAGTAGAGACAGGGTTTCACCATGTTGTCCAGGCTGGTCTCAAACTCCTAACCTCAAGTGATCTGCTCACCTCGGCCTCCCAAAGTGCCAGGATTACAGGCATAAGCCACCGTGCCCGGCCTCATCGTCACTTTCTATTCCTGTGTGAATTACAGAGATCCGTTCTAAATATTCGGTACTCGCCAAATATTTGCAAACTTTGGTTATAAGGAAGCCAAAGGGGAAAATGCTATTTAGAAATTCAATTTTAAAAGCATGAGTAGAATCTTCTAATTACTGGGAATTCAAAAGTGGGTACGATTTGGTCCCTTCTGTAAGATTTGACTCACCATCTGGAGAAGAAGTGTGCTCTCAAGCCATGAGTCAGGTAGACTCAGTCTAATCTTGCTTAATGACTGTCCCTTGAGTACCATTTGACTTAAGAAATTCCTTTCTTGTTCCAATATCTATTAAAAGTTATAGATAACCTGCTGTTTTTAGGTAACCTGCTGTTTCTGAGGCTTACAGTTTTTAAGAAATCTAAGTAAATTTCAAAGACTCAAACACAGAGATGGAAATTCATGCTCCCCCCAAAAAAATAATTAAGACCATTACCCAGAAATAACCCACTTTACTCACTGTAACTAGCCACTTGACTCTCATCAGAATAATCTAAAGAAAAATAGTACAAGAAATAGATTTAAAATGTTCTACTCAGCTCTTGCTCTCCTCTCCTCCCTCTCATTCTTCGTATCTGACCCTTTTTCTCAATAGTGGAAAGGGATGGCATTCTAAACTCTGCAATGCATGGATCATCAAGAAATCTGACTAGGAAATGTAACTAAAATGGAATTGTTACAAGTTTAGAATTTGTAAGTGGGATGAGTTGGCATTTAAGGGGAGATAACTGCACTTTTAAGACTGCACAATTAGACTGATTTGGGGTGACAATTGATACCTCAGGTGAAATCAACATTACGTATCATACAAAATGTTCTCTAAATTCATGAACAAAATCTAACTCCATCCTTCATGTGACATTTGTAGTGTCTAACTTTTTAATAGAGATGTTAAATGCATAGGTATCTTGTAAATGATAACATTTTGATGGTTTATTTAACCATGTATTTAACTTAAGCTATGGGTTGGATTTGGAACATTAATTTTTTTTGAGGTGGAATCTCACTCTGTTGCCCAGGCCGGAGTGCAGTGGTGTAATCTCAGCTCACTGCAACCTCTGCCTCCCAGGTTCAAGCAATTCTCCTGCCTCAGTCTCCTGAGTAGCTGTGATCCCTGCTAGGCATGCACCACCATACCTAGCTAATTTTTGTAGTTTTAGTGGAGACAGAGTTTCACCATGTTGGTCAGCCTGGTCTCGAACTCCTGACCTCATGATCTACCCACCTCAGCCTCCCAAAGTGAGGAGGCATGAGCCACTGCACCCGGCCACATTATTTTTAATATAAATACTATGATTCCTCAAGTAGTTCAGATCATTACCATTGACTATTGAGTAAAAGAGATCGCATTTGACTATTTTGCTTCTATCTAGACACAATATTCTTCCTGAAGCTTAAGTGCCATGTGCTTCTTACTGGTCAGTTGTTATTTAAGCTTTTTCTTAACGTGGAAAGGATACTAACATGTTTTGGGCAGTAGTGGGTTTTTTTGTTTGTTCATTTGTTTATACTAATAGAAATGTTCAACACCACTTCCACTAACACGTAGAGAGAAAGTGGGTGCAGCTTTAAGAAATTATTAAATGATCTATTTATAAAAGTTTTGCACTATTTTACATATAACCATATGGAGTGAACAAACTATGAGGTAAGTTGTAGACTTGGGTCTTTATTTCACATTAAAATGACTCTCTCACACATTCTTAAAAGCATTCCACTAACAAGCATTGTGTAAAAGGCCTCAGGATGTATAGACTTTCTGTCCTCTGTTATGTTCATCTTTCTTACTGTTTTTTTTTCTCAGAAGCCTAATATTTAAATATATAGACAAAGGTAGAACCCTTGACAATGCTGTTACTTCTTTGGCTCATCTCACCCATGGAGTCTTCTAATTCTTATTTAACTTTTATGCAACTAAACCTTAAAATAAATTAATACTGAATACATATGATGAGTGAAATACCACCCTGTGACTCATATTTCATTTTATTTTGATAGAACTTCCCCCAGTAAAGCTTATGAAATCTGATGCTGCAGACTGAGCTCTGTGATG